GCTTTGGAAACGCTTATTAGCCTGTCACCAAAGATGTAAGAAAAATCCACCATTCCTTTTGGAAAATGATGAGCCTTTGTCACCCACTGTGTAATTAATGTTAAAGATGGAAAGAATGGCTATGATACAGTTATGATTAGGCAGAAATGAGCTATTGTCCAAGCAACAGGGACCAGATCCAGCAGGCCATAGATGACCTGCACAGACCAGCAGCTTGCTGATTGCCGTTGCTCTGTGAGTTTGATGAAATATTCATGCCCGTGCTCCCCTCCCTGGGAGCACTATTGATTTCTTGTATAAACGCTGCTATATTTAGTCTAGACAAATGGAATGTGGATTGCTGCTGAATAAATTGGATGAAAGACTGGGATCTTGCCTGCCGCTTTCTCTCAGTCTTGGGCAATTATTTATAATCAGGAGCAGTTTTTGTAAGTTGAGGGTGATTTTTCACAATTTAGTGATTAGTGCCTGAACAAAGGCAACAGTTAGACACAATCATTTCTGTTGGGATAGCAGGTTAAGAAGTCAAATTACCCTCTGAGGTTTGCAAGAACTGTTTCAGAGGCTGGTTGGGGCACCACCCCCAGAACCTCCAAAAAAACTTTGAGATTATGCTTCCCCAACACACACACACACACACACACACACACACACACACACACACACTTATCTTTTTTTGAACATTTTTTAGTGGTTTCATGCTAGTAGTTTATGAATAATGCGAGAGCTGGCGAGAACAAACCCCAGGGACTTTTGATTTTCTATATTTTGTCTTCATGCGGTTAAAGTCTGACCTTTGTTTATGAAGATTTCCCTGTAAAGATTGAAGGCTCTCATTTGCCTTTGTAATGTAAAAAGAAATAAATCATTAAGAAGCGCTGCTTTTACTTGGAGTTATGCCAGCCCTTTCAGGTGACATGTTCTGAGTCTCATGTTACTCTGCTGCTTTGGCTCCAAGTTCTGTCCTGGGCCCTGTACTCTACAAGTCCTGTGGATCTTCATTACTTCAAAATATGTCACAATTACTTTATTTCACAATCATCACTCACCAGAAGGCATTGGTCACCACAATCTGGTTTATTAATAAATCGTTTCCCATTTTCATTAAAGTGACATAAGTGAACCACAGTAAACTTTTGATCAATACTTTGAAAAATAGCCAGGGTTAAGCCACCCAAGATTGATACCAATCTATATACATGAACATATGCACACATTGTGCGATTCAGATAGCAAGCAAGGGCATATCATGCTTTACTATTTAAAGCTGTAACATCTAGGCTAGCATTGTAGTGCAGTAGGTAAGCCTGTTACCTGATTCTGCCTGACCGGCCCTCACCATTGCAGACGGTAGGGGGCGTAAATCGCTGGATGGAAGATCTTTTTCTCTGTTTTTGACTTTCTAACTCTTCCTTTTAGTAAATAAATCGCTCTTTTTAAGTCTCTTTTAAAGGTTTATTTATATTTATTGGAAAGGCTTATTTATAGAGAAAAAGAGAGACAAACTCACCAAATGGCTGCAACTGCTGGCGGTGACCCAATCCAGAGCCAGGAGACAGGAGCCCCTGCTGGGTCTCCCACACAGGTGCAGGGTCCCGAGGCATTGAGCTGTCCTCAACTGCCTTCCCAGGCTACAAGCAGGGAGCTGGATGGGAAGAGGAGCAGCTGGGATTAGAACTGGCATAAATATAGGATGTCAGCACTTGGAGGATTAGCCAGTAGAGCCATAATATATAGAAAAAATTGAAGTCAGGATTCCTTAATTCATAGACAGTAGACTTATAATCCATCTGAATACTATCTTTGGAGTTCCCCAACCTGTAGTCTTGAAAGTCTAAGTTACTTACCTAATTTTTAAACAAGATTTATGTATATATGTATGCATGCAAGTATGTATTTGAAAGGCCAAGTGACATACAGAAAGGGAGACAGAGAAAAGATGTTTCATTCACTTGTTTATTCCCTGATTGGCTGCAACAATGAGCCCCAGGCCAGGCCAAAGCCACGAGCCTGGTTCACCAATCCAATCTCCCATGGAGGAGGCAGGGACACAGGCACTTAGGTTATCTTCTGCTGCTTTCCCAAGCGAATAAACAGGAAACTGGGTTATAAGTAGAAAAACTGAGACTGGAATGGGTATTCCTATGGGATGTCACAGTCACAGATGGCAGCTTTATCCTCCATGACACAGTGGCAACCCCTGAGTTAGTTACTGGAACTAGATGTCATTTGGAAAAATAGAAGAGAGAGTGTTTTGTATTCCCATCCAAAGTGCAACCACTTTACAGTTCTGTGACACAGCTTTTATTATAAGAACTTGATGACCAACACAATTAAAAATTTCAATATAGGCTCATGGGGTGGGGGCAGAATGGGCAGAGGTGTTGGAATTCCTATCATTTCAAAAACATTTTAAATATTTTGAAGCCAAGCAACTAGAATGAAACCTGGACCTTTAAAGAGGTCCATAAATATATATAGCCTCAAAAATTTTTATGGATTTTTAAAAATCTTTTTGAGGAATTTATTAATATGCTAAATTCTTGAGGTCACTGTAAATGCAGGATAATTACTACATGCATGCAGATGCATGGTAATTACTATAACACAATGATCAATTTTCATGTTAATATGATGTTAATGCAAACAACGCAGATTCAGTACAGTTCATAGATAGAATCCTGATAATACAATGATACCTTCCCCTGCCAACTCTCTTCCTCCCAAGGCAGAGAGGCAGAGTTGTCTCATCCACTGATTGGCTCCCCCCAAACCCATGACATCTGGGGCTGGGCCAAGCAAGCTGAAGCCAGGAGCTAAAGCTTCATCCAGGTCTTCCCAAGTTGTGCCAGGGACCCAACTACCTAAGCTATCACTGCAGCCTCCTGGGATGCACCTTAGTAGGAAGCTAGAATTGGGAATGAAGTTCAGACATTCCAATATGGGATGCAAGCATTCCAAGCAGTGTTTTAACTACAGTGACAAATATTTAAATACAGTGCCCCTTATTTAGGCAGTTTAATTAGTTATCATGGTCTCTATGTTAAGCTTATTCCTGTTTCTTAATGTAGCAGCATTTTCAATGTATTATTTATTTAACTTATTGTAGTGATTTGTGTATTTTTCTAACAAATGGATGGAATTGGTTTTATTGGTTTTTTTTTTTGCTATTTTGATTATAAGACTACTCCAGTAATCAATATGATATTAAATGTTTTTTCTTTGTCAGCATTATTCCCTTGCTGTAAATGTCTGGGATTGGCACGCTGGAATCAACGGTAGAAATACTCAGGGGCTGGTGTTATGATGCTCTGGGCTCATTAACGGTGCTCCATTTTTATGGCTAACTTACATTTGTTTTTGTTTGCAAAGGTGATTTTTGGTTGCATTCTTTTTTGTTGCCCATTCTATGAAGATGTTAGTGCTTCTATTTTCTAATATTTACTAGAAATTGTAAACCATCTTATTTTCATATTCGTCCCTAGTTTCTTTTGTCTTATTAATCACTCCCTATTGAAGATTTACATCATTACGAAGTTTCCATTTTTGGGTCATTTCAGCAAAAGAAAAGCAGTTGTTGATGGCTGTGCTGTATGCCATTTAAATGCTTTGGGTATGTGACCTCATTCATTCCATGCTGTAATTATCCCCAATGAACACAAGAGGGAACTGAGACCTTGGGAAGTTTACAGCTTCCTCAGACACACAGGCCAACAGGAGGATGGGGACAGCCACGCAAATGTTCAGGCAGAGATGGAAAACTGGCAAACCCGGATGTCAAACTCCATTTACAGGAGTCTGAATTGCTACTGTGGTTTCCAGAGCTGGAATCTTCCAAGTAACTTTATTTTTTTCTCAGTTACAACTTGGGTTACTTCTTTGTTGTCTGTTTTCTTTCCTTTTCATATCCCACTTACACTTTTGGGTGACTCTCAGGAGTGGGTGTTCTCTTCCAAGAAACCAGGCAGTCCCACTTGCTGTGGACTCTCCTTCCACGTCCCGATTCTCTTGAGCCCACCCTTCTCTTCCTTAGCTACACAACATTGCTCATCCCTATTGAGGAAGGGTCAGCCTAAAAACACTCAGCGACCATTTTGGCATAGACAATCTTCAGTCACAGCAGACGCCACTCATAAAGAAAGGGTCATCTGGATTCTCCCCTATCTGAGGTTTTCCCGATCAAACAACTTCATTCGGAACCATCCATTTTTATTTGCTAGGATAGCGCTAGGAATATTAGGCACACAGTATCTGGCTTAATGTTTGCAAATGTTAAAGTTTACCTTCAGTTGTGATTCTCAGAATGGCCCATCTTGTTGACATACTTGGCTTAGTGTTTTTTTTTTTTTTCACTAAATCCTTAAGTTCCCTGACATCCTTCCTCTGTTTATTTTAGGAATGAGGTAAAGGAGAGACACACGAATTGAAACCCAGCACTTAGACACTTGGCTACTTTCGCGCCTTCCCTTTGGTCTGGTGCCCTTACTGCGGTTTATTCTCCTCTACTACATTAAAATGCAGATTCTATTCCTCCTTTGCTGGTCCAATAACCCTGTAGCTGTTGTGCAAGCTTTACTGTTCAAAGCAGATCACATCTTCCAACTGCAATTTAAGTGGCTCAAATTCAGTTGTGATGAAATTTTTTTTCTTCAAATATGGCAGCATTCAATAACAGTTACCCTATTTTGGTTTTTATAAGAAGACCGGTAAAAGATATTGTTCCGAATGTCTTTGATACCACTGAGAAATGGCAGTTGTCTCTTCGGGAAATGGAAATGCAAAGATTCCACGGGTGAGCACTGCTATGTGAACTTTCACATCTGGCTCCTTCACCATAACCGGTGCACGGAAGACCTTTCAGGATCATTGTCAGGAAATGTCCAGAGTTGTGCACGTGAAGGTGGTTGTATGGGGTGCATGGCCTTCTAGGTTGTTCTGGAACTACTGTGCTCCGGTCCTAACCCTGCCCCCCTCCCTTTCTCTTTTTCTTGGCTCTGCAGTGGATGTGAAGTCAGAGGTTCCTGTGGGGCTGGAGCCCATCTCGCCCTTGGACCTGAGGACGGACCTCAGGATGATGATGCCTGTGGTGGACCCTGTGGTCCGGGAGAAGCAGCTGCAGCAGGAGCTGCTGCTCATCCAGCAGCAGCAGCAGATCCAGAAGCAGCTCCTGATTGCTGAGTTTCAGAAGCAGCATGAGAACCTGACGCGGCAGCACCAGGCTCAGCTTCAGGAGCACATCAAGGTAGCAGATGTTTCTTTGTCTGTGTCCTTCCCACTCAGGTGTCTGCACCATGACACTGGCAGAAAGTGCCCCTGCACAGGCAACGGGGTTGGGGAGAGGTTTAAGATCCTGAAGTACACTGCTAATGAGGAAATGTTGATTGTATTAGTGAAAACTTCCGGTAAGTATCTGCTAAGCACCTGCTTGCCTGTTTAGCAGGGCTGCCGTTATTTGTTTTAAGATGACAACAAAATGCCATAGGTTGGATTGCTTATAAAGTGACCTGCCTGGTCCATGATTCTGGGCCTGGAGAGATCAAGCAGGATGACATCAATGTTCTGGTCAAGGACCTCCCTTCTCTTGGAAGTATCACAACTTGGGTGAGAATCTGAGAGGACAAGGCCAGGTGATGAAGGGAGAGATGGCAGGATGAGAAGTTGAGGCTTTGAGCAGCACTCCTGTTCTCTCTTGGTCTCTCGGGGGAACCAATCTCCTCCCACCAGACGAGACCCGATGCCCCATGTACAATGTAAATGCATTTCCGAGAATGGGGTCCCCAGGACCTACTGACCTTTCAGGAGACTTAGCGGCTTGACACCTCAACACTACCCAAGTGCCTGGGCATGTGCGTCTAGAAGACACCCTCAGGCCACGTGGCAGCCACGGCAGGACCTCTGCTGCTCCTTTGTCCAAAGGAGAGAGAGTAACTCCTGCCTTCATTTGGAATCCTGCCCTCCACGATTCTGCTTTGTGTCTCATGTTTTCTCCAAAAGGCACATACATTTGTTTAAAGAATGCGCATATACCATTGACTGAGAAGGATGAATTAGTGCCTTTTGTGAATATAGAATTTTTTTTTTCCTTTCAACTTGGTCTATATGTTGACATTCTAAACATGACCTTATTTTCCCAGAAGAAAAAAATTGTAATATATATAGTCAAGGTAATAACATAATAAAAAGAGCTCAAGGAATTACTGTGTAGGAAAACTGCCACAAATATTTCCAATATTTTTATAGGCTATAGAAAGGAATTTATTGGAAGAATTTCGGGAGGATTTGGCAATTTTAGACTTAAGTTCTTTAAACCGTTCCTGATAAAATATATCCATATCCAAACTTTTTTATGATGACCTGTGTTATTATCAGATTATTTTAGACGTTTCTAGTTATATTTGTCTATTTATTTGTTATCTTTGGAGATAGATATTCCTTGGCTTTAAATGTATGATGTCTTTCAACCTTTTAAAAATGTCATCTGAAAAGAAGACTTCTAATATGTTTAAATATATTTAACTGGGTACTCTGATAGTGATTTGGAAGTAGTAAATATTTAAAAGCTTTCATTTTTCTTTGCAGCTCCTTCAAAATTGTATTCAGCGTAAGCTAACTTACTAGTGCAAGCTGTTACATTTCTATCGTTTGGCAAGGGTTTCACTGTTTCATGCATATTAAGCACGTTGACACTAATGTGGGGACACACCGTTGACTAGTCTAGGTGAACAGTATGTCATTTAGCTGCTTTAATACCGTAATGTTTGAGAAGGTAAAGATGCTGTCTTCTCCCCTATGTTCATTCCCAGCTCTACAAGATATTTCCTCAACCTAGCATATCTGTATTATTTTCCAAAATACATGATGCAAATAGGTAAATTTCTCTTTCACTAGTGAACTTAAGAACCCTTAAATGTTAATCATCTAAACTATATCTTGGAAATAAGAGTGAAAGTTTTCTTTTGGGTCCTCTGTGGGATGTGTAGTGTATAGCTCTGTTTTGAAGTATTGGGTACCCTTCCTTGAGTTTATAGACTTGTTTTTGAATGAATGCTGAAATGCTATTGCAGCTTGACCTTTGAAACGATCATGGGAATATTGATGTCTAGATCTCTTTCTTCAGTCTGTCCTGGTACAGTGGGATGGCAGTGATGAATGAGTCAAATTACATTGCTCCCCATACATTAAGATCTAAGGATCTCTGGAGTTTATTTTGCTGCTGTGTGTGAGTCATATCGCTCTGGGTATAGGGCAGTGCTCCTAAGGTACTCCTTCCTTTATGTTGGGTGCATTCTGGAGTTAATTTTTTTTTGAGATTGTATTAGTTTTTACTCAAAAGTTAATTGTGATAAATACACACTTATCATACCTTTGGCCCAAGCACAATTATTCATTAGGTGTATTGATACCTGGAAAATATTGGGAAAGAGGAATAAATGATTTTGAGATAGCTTAAAGGAAATGTTAGCTTTTGATATAGTTTCCTAAAGTAATAGATGGTTTATGCAGAAGCTAAAAACATACTTAATTTTTCTTTTAAGATGCTTAAGTTTTTGTTTCAATTCATTAAGGTTCTGTTTGTTAGTTGCTTAGGGATAAGGCTTGATGCTGAAAAGAATGTTTATCATTCTTCAACACTTTATTTGTACAAGATACATAAAAGTGAATTAGCTTTTTGAATCTTTGGCTTCTGGAATAATCAACCTCTGTTGCATTACATTTAAGCATCTCATTTTTCTACCTGGCAAACTTTTCTTCAAGGTAGACAACCAGTAAGGGTTGCCTCCAAGATTTACCCCACGTGTTGCCCTGTCTGTCCTCAAACTTCCGAAGTCACCCTGCCACTCCCAAGATCAGAACATTTGGAAATGGAGGAGTAAACTTTTTCCTATTGTTAAAATGTCATTTCTTCATTTTTTGGTAATGCATAGTAAACATGATCCTTGTAAGCATTTTAGACCCCTTAAGGCATGAAATTTCAGTTCCATGGAGCTCTGGGTGAAGGACAAATCGGTTTGATAAGGTAGAGTTTAATAGGTTAGGTGTTGTCTGCTACGGTGTAACACCTAGTCATTCACTAAGGAACTGCAGTACCAAGGCCCAAACTGCAAACTCTGTGGTCACAGGAGCAGTCAGAAATGCTTCTAATCGTGTCCTCCCGGGAGCGATGGGGCTTTCCTGGTTGATAGAGTGTCGATTTTCTGTTAGTAGAGAGCGACTCTGATGCTGTTCCTTAGAAAGTGTTTATATTGTTCTGTTATTTTTCAGTGGAAAACTCAGAGTTTTATGTACCCTACCAAAGCCAAAACCAATTTCTTCATGAATGTTGCTAGAATCTGTTGTTAAAGTTGGTAAGAATAATTAGTGTGCTACACGCTTAAATATCATGTATCGTAGGACGTGGATGTGCGCGGCAGACTTTCCTCTAAACGGAGGAGGTGCAAGTCCAGTTCTGAACAGGTTAGCACGTTAGCAGGCCTGTAGGTGTTAGTGACATTAGAGCCCCATAGGCATCAGAATCTTCAGTTAGCCTCCCATGGGCACAGCTATGTCATAGGAAACCGACAGCTCCAGACGGCTGCTAAGAATGCTCCGTTGTTCATCTTATTTGTTGCTTGGCAGGGAATTCAACCATTTCGGAGAATCAAACAATAGGATATTAAAGTGCTATTTGATGAAAGCAATACTTCCCTGACTGCGGAAGCTTCTTCTGTCCTGGTGAAAAGAATAACTATTTTTTGCTAGAGAAGAACCCGCTATAGATATATTGATATATAGAGATATATAGATATATTGATTCCATTAGTGTCTTGAGAACTTGCATGTTTTTAAAACATCTTTAACAATTGTTCTATTTGTTTCATGCCATGTTCTTTTAAAGATGCATTTAACAGAAATTTAGCAAAAATGTTTATTATTTGTATATTGAGCAACTCATATGAGGACAGGAGTTAGACTTCCTTCAGATGAACTCATATTGGACCATTTTTGTTCACTTCGATGACTTCCATGCCATTTCTCAACGGAAGGTTTCCATTCTTTGTTCATCATGAAGGAACTTTGTAAAAATTGAGTTTTGGGCGTTGTCTTTCAGGTCATTTTTGTGCACAAAGCAAAACAAGTAAAGTTTCTAAATAGTCGATAGAAATAAAATGACCTTGGTGAATTGAATGGTTAATTTTAATGTGGGAGTGCAGGTGAATGGAGAAAACTTGCTTGTTGTCGTGTTAAAAGACCATTGTGGCCCTAGTTGCTTGTGTACTGTTGGCTAATTTGTAGAAAAGCGTGTAAGAATGTGAACGGAAGCACAGAGGTTCCACTGGCTCGTCATTTTGAGTCACTACTAACAATGAAACCTAAAGAAATTGCACACTCTCATGTCTTTCTCTTCTCGTAAGTTGCAACAGGAACTCCTAGCCATAAAACAACAGCAAGAACTCCTAGAAAAAGAGCAGAAACTGGAGCAGCAGAGGCAAGAACAGGAAGTAGAGAGGCATCGCAGAGAACAGCAACTTCCTCCTCTCAGAAGCAAAGACAGAGGACGAGAAAGTAAGAGGCGCCAGGGTAACAGGTGGACTCTCCCCTCATCTCTAGCCGCTCGTCGTTCGGAAGGAATCTGATAGAGTGCAATCCAAAGGGCCCAGTTTCTGTCTGTAATTCAGAGAAGGAGTCGTACACCCGTGGCCCCCTTTATTTAATCTGCAAGAGCATCTCATAAAGTCAACATAGCGTTGTGTTGGCAGAGGTGCTGGTTTCTGTCCAGGAAAAGCTGCTGGGCTTAAGAATCATCCTTAGGTCCACATCTGCTCATCATGCTTTCCTTCCCCATGCCTAAGCAGTAACTGCTCTGGAAGGCAAGGCTTGGCTGCCCGGAGTGTCTGCTTGCTCAGACGCTTTGCGGAAAGAATTCTCCACCAGAGGGAGACATAACCAAATAAGTCCTGTGTAGGAGGTCAGTTCAAAATCAGGTCGAGGAGAGCCTTAAAATGTGATGACTTGGCCTGGAATTGTCAGCAATATTTATTTGGTTAACTCTCAGAGGGGTTTAAAGAAAAGTTAATTTTTTTTTCAAACCAGCCTCTCGGATCATTTTAATGTATTTAAGGGACATGGTACATTCCCCCAAATTCTTGATTCGAGAACCATTTTGGACGTCAGCAGTATTTTGAAAAACACATTAATTCTGGGAATTCCCTTTCTGCAAAAGCAATTAAATAAGTCATTGATGGTCTCTTGAAAACTGGCAGTTGAAACAGTGGTTACAAAGCATCCCTGTGCCGTTTGTTCCAGCCTGGCGAGGCACTGCTTTCTTCCCTCGGTAGGAAACTTTCTGTGCTGTGAGCAGCGATACTGCTCTTTGGTTCTTGTGAAATGTGTCCAAGCCTGCGAGGCCCCGACTCACGATGGCCCTCTGTTTCCGTGTCCCTATGTGTGTTGCAGGGGCAGTGGCGAGCACAGAAGTGAAACAGAAGCTTCAAGAATTCCTGTTGAGTAAATCAGCAACAAAAGACACTCCAGCTAATGGCAAAAATCATTCCGTGAGCCGCCATCCCAAGCTCTGGTACACGTACGTGCGGTGTTGGGTAGTTTTCACGTGTGGGAGCGGGGGGGTGGGGAACCTGTCGGGGAGGTGTTGAGAACTTGGACAGCGTGTTCACAGACATTGGGGTGGCCATCGCCCCGTGGTCCTGAGGCAGTTTCTTGAGTTCTCTAAGGATGAGTCACCTTGTCTGTCAAATGAGACTATCAGAATTGCCCTCCAGAGGCAGTGTTGTCAAGGCTGTCACAGACAGTATGTATGCTAGGGATTCCAGAAAGTTCGTAGAAAATATTATAGAAAAGCTGTGCATGAGTTCTGCTTTTTTTTTTTTTCATCAAAATAAGCTTCACTTTTCATCATTTTTCTTGAGACTTTTCTAGAGTCTTTCGCTAGGTTCTTTTCTGAGTATCTGACATGCGGGATCAGGCATAGAGATTCATTGTTCTTCTGTCCTCAGATGTGATATGCATAAAATAATTGTCAAAGATTCAGCAGACTCTGATTCTATTTCACTTAGATAGAAAATGGAGGTCAGAGCTATTTTATACTCGTTGTTTGTTTCTCTTTTTGGAAAAGCAGAGCAACAGTAGGTGGTGCTGGGGGTAGTGAGCTGTGAAAGCCCATGTGCTGGTTCACTCCTCCAAATGCCCACAGGTGTGCTAGCTTGGGCTGGCTGGAGCCAACAGCTGGGACCACATCCACGTGTCTCACATGGCACTGCAGACAGCAGCCGGTGTCTGCTGCCTCCAGGAGTGCATCTCAACAAGAAGCTAGATGGGCAGCAGGGGCAGAACTTAATTCCTAGCTCTGAGTTGGGGTGCAGGCCTCCCATGTGCAGAGCTTACCCACTGTACCACACTGTCTGTCCTGGTAGAAGCTATATATATATATGTTTTTTTTTTAATCCACAAGATTTTTGACTCAATTTGAAAAGGCAGAAAGGAAGAAAGATGAAGGATGATAGGAAGGAAGGAGAGCAGGTAGCTAAATAATATACCTGTGTCTGAAACAGCTGGTTTACCTGTACCCTCACCAGCTCATTTCTTCCCATGCAGTAACATAGTCACTCAAAGACTCATGCGGATACACTGTGGTATTACAGTAAGTGTGGCACCCGATTTCTTCAAGTTTTGTGGCAAGATAATGTGTGGTACTCTTTAAGAGTATTAAAAAAAAAAGTGTGACAGGGGCCTGTTTTTTTTTTTATGTTATTTGGGTAATAGACTACTTGATAACATTTCAATTTCTCTCATAAATGAATTTGTTACCGAAGAATTGGATTTTATAATTACACACTTTTAAAATCCACTGGTGACATAACCTACTCTAGCAAGTAGATAACTAATTTGGTTGTGTTGAAATTGTCAGCGTCATGGGAGTTCTAGTGCAAGAGTTACTATACTTACAAGCCTGTTTTGGACATGTCTTTCCTTCTTTCCATTCAAAGCTTTATAACAGAACAGTCCTGGGTGTTTTATAAGTACTTAATAACTTACCTACTTGATTTCTACTATGTAGTTTGGTTCATTTGAGACACCAGTCTTCAAGGGAAATGTTGAAACATTCAATTAGCATCGCAAAATATTTTGACAGGAATACCATTTTGTTATCTCACATTTATAGCTCATAACTGATTCATAATTCCTTCAAAAGTAAAGTCTGTTTTAAGAAAGATGATGCCATTTTATAATGGGAAGCATCTCCTTGCAGTTTGCTAGCTGAAAACTCTTTAGCTCTTTTGCTGAATATATGAAAATACTTTTAGAAAGTTCATTAACAATGGAATTGATGGATACATTTATTTTGTGAAAAAAATTCTGAAATTGATGTGCAATTGGGTTTTTTTTAAAAAGTTTCTTAAAGTGCTTATTATGAAAAAAGTATGTATGAATTTCAAAAATATTTAGCACCAAAATAAATTTGTGTTTTGATTCAGTTTTTTTTCACAAATTTCTGAATTAGCTTTCTATCACAAATGACCTTAGCCTAGGGCCCCGAAGCGATTATCTCCCTATCACAGATGGTTCTCGCATGTTGACTGCAGTCCTTGGATTAAACTTGAGAAATTGGGATACTCCAGAAAAGCATGAACCACTGATTATGGAATCTGAGTTGGATACAATGTTTGCTAGTCATAGTTAGATAAGCTATAACCAGTTAAAGATTGAGAAGGCTTGACTCTGGTGAGTAATACTGCTGCAGTAACCATTGCCGTGCTGACACCATGCTGTGTTCATTGTTTTTGTCTTATAAATTAGTTGTAGGTGTTTACTGACCCTGAATAGTCTAAATTCACACCTATAACATATGCTGTGGTAACACTACTACAGCATTTACTGTATTCATCCAAGAAAGAGAGAAAATGGTTGTGAATCCCACCTTGATATTGGAGAACAATGATGTGATGTGTGTGTCTTCAGAACAGCTGTCCGAGGCAGGGGATTTGAGGATTTCTTGGCACAGTACTGCCTCCTCAGTGAGAAAGCCACCCTCATGTTCTTGTATGTGCTTCCTAGCAGCTCTTCAAAAGCCAAGTCCTGGGATGTCTATACTTGGACCTTGTTAGTTCTACATTGTTGGTTAAAGGTCACGATGACAACTTTTCACTAGTGTGACTTAAGGAAACTTAATCCAATAGTCTCAGATTATCGAAAGCTCAGAGTGTGGGTAAGTTCTGTTAGTGAGCAAACACATGTGCCTATGGGAGTGCATGGCCAGTCCAGGATGGGCATTCCTTGGAATCTTGTGTCATTCCGTCATATCCTGCACTGCAGCAAACGTGGTTGCGTGAGGCTGTGGTTTGTGTACACTGAGAAGAAAGAACATAAACACAGCTGAGACGCGTGTCCAGCATGTGCAAGTGATTACTGCTGACCAACTTGCCATCAAACTCCACAATCAACGGGGGCCCTTCTTTGTCTCTTGCAGGGCTGCTCACCACACCTCATTGGATCAAAGCTCTCCACCCCTTAGCGGGACATCTCCATCCTACAAATACACGTTACCAGGGGCGCAGGGGAGCAAGGACGATTTCCCTCTTCGCAAAACTGGTAAGAGGCTTTCAACAAGAACCCTGCTTGCTCTTGTGTGTCATACATCTAGTTTCATGTTACGGCTTTATTAGAAAATCAGAGGGTTCAAATCATGCATGTTTTACCTCCCCTGGCTCCTACATAAACGTTCCCTAGAGCATGTAGCCTGCGCGTGCACACACACGTACACACACATCCCCACTTAGATTTCTGTATCAGTTGACTTACAGTATAATCAAAGTCTCCTTTTCAAGGAATTTAAGTTTATCTTATTTGGAGTTGAGACAAATTGCTTTCTCATTAGCAATACAGAGTAGAATAAAGAAGATCAGAATTTTGATTTAAAAAAATTACTCATTTCTGTTAGTGAGGCCCTCTATAATCTCATCCTCCAGTTTTTTCTTTTTTTTGCTGAGTCATAAACCATTACTATAAAATTGGAAATAATAACTTTTTCTTTCCTGATAAGTTTCTGAAAGCCCTATATTGTAATTGGGGACAACAGGTAAGACCCAGCCTACCTCTGAGGAAGTGACTTGCCTAACGTCTCATAGGTTCTGCAGAACTCAGAGTGAAGATTGCTACTAAGACCCATGCAGTTTTGTTAAGACGTGATGAGTAGAACTGGTCCAGCTTAGTCAACAGTGCTGGGCCGGATCAGCTTTGGTCTTGTTTTCCCATCAGAGCTGTCTGATATATACGTGTCTGATGTTAGATGCGCCATTGCAGCAGACAGAGAGAAACGTAGATATGCTGTAGTTATTCAATATCCTTTGTGGACATTCTGTTCTAAATGTTACAGTGTTTGCCAAATATGGTTAGAGACAGTTGTAAATTAGAGAGCATTTGTAATCCCTGCTGATCTGAAGAAAATATTTGTGCAAGATGGATCCATGTGTTTAACTCAGATCTTCTTGAAAATTTGGTCTATATAATTTATATATGAAAGGTACAGAGCAAAATTATTTCAATAATTATGCTTCTTTTCCCAAGCAATTTGAAGTAATTAAAATTGTAAAAACACATATTGAAGGGATTTCCTGTCATATAATTAACCTTGCAGCACCATAAAAGTTTAAATATAAAATCAATCATGAGTAAAAATATCTCACCTACCAGCTAGCTAATATTACATCAGGCACTGAGAAAGGATACTTTAATATTGCTAAATAACCTGTGCCATTTTTTTGTATAGTAGCCTAAGGGTTTTTTTTTGCATTTCTATTCTAAAATGATAGTTGTAATAAAATACTTCAAGGGTAACCTTTGCAAAGGTAAGGATTGAGTTTTATGGATTGCATCGGAATGTCACACTCTGATCTACATGTCAGATTGCCTTTCTTATAAATAAACTTCTCTGGGATAAAAGGAAGAAAGCAGAGTGGGTCTCTTTCCATTTTCTAAAACATGGAATAAAGTTTATGAAAACTGAGCTCCAAAGGACATGCATTTTAGAAAGTGGGACTTTGATCTGTCATCCTGACACTGGCTTGTACCCGTGGCATGTGCAGGAGCTGCTGCAGGGAGTCTGTGAGTGTTGCCCCAGGCCTCAGGGCAGTGGCTGGCATGCAAGAACCCGAGGCATCATTGAAAGGAAAGAATATCCTGGGTCTCCTTCTGGCAGGAGGTTGCTGATGAGCGATTCAGTGACATGCACAGAGCAGACTTCCACCCTGCCGAGCACGAAAAAATATATCCTTGCCACTGGGAGATGGAAAGCTGACTACAGAGCTGATGCTCGCTTTCAAAAGGAGTGGCATTTGGGAGCAGTTAACTTCCAGAAAGCAAATCTCATCTTTCCCAGTACTTAAGGACAAATACTAAAGCCCCCCCACATGTGTGTCCTGTTGTTTCTGTGAGAATAGCTGAGTTTTTCCTTGACTGGAAGGGGATAACAAGCTGCTAAAGGGGATGCTCAGGCTGCAACCCGATTCAAAGAGAAAATCCTGCCCTTGTTACAAGTTTCAAGCCTTTATTCCAATTATACAAACATCAGATATTTTCTGTGTTTATGTAATATCTGTCTCTATGTAGTGAACTATGATGAAACATAAATATATATGCATATATGTTGCAAAAAGCCTTCGTCTTTGCCAGTAGAATACTTTCCATATTTGTCCATTATTTCAAGTATCTTTCTTTTTATGCTAAAAACCTGATATTTAGAAAGTGTCAGGCTGCTGATCTGTAAAACCAAACATTTTCAAGCATTGTAGTGATAAAGTTCATGAACAGCCGTTAATACTTTAATATCTCTACAGGGGTTTCAAAATATTCCTTAATTCAATTCCCATTGTCTGTTTAACAAAAGTCTAATATAATTAAATGCAGATGTTTTCTACACACGATCTGAAATATTTCGAAATCCTCTTCATTAATTTCAAGTAGGTGAAAGTCTTCCAATTTAGGGAAATACAATCTGGTGGATTTTCAGTAACATTGTGACAAAATTTAGACATGTATTTACCTCATTAAATAGAAGAATATTGATAGGTTATCCAATAATAAGTTTTGCTCCTGTTTTTTTTCTAACTCAACAAATCAAAAGTTATTACAAGCAAAGAAAACAAAACAAAAAAATCACCACTATAAAAATATGCGATGGTTGTGTTCACTGTTTAAGATGGCTATTGTCTAAGGCTGCATCATATTAAATAAAATCTACAGTATCATTGATCAAGTACCACATTAAATAAAACCTAAAGTAGTGTCGTTGATCACAGAGCAGAAATACTAGGACAGCTGTGAGAGTCATCCTTTTTTGATTGAAGCCAGATTTTCAAACCTCTGTTTTTAACTTGCATTTCATAGAACTCAATCACAGATTTAAATGAGTGGATTATATCTTTTGATCTGCCTGTAATACTAAACACATTTAATTTCTTTTATATATGGATCCATACTGAATTGCTAATATGTATGCAGCCAGATTGAAGAAAGGAAAACTGGAACCAGGGTAAGAACCGGTCCTAAGGATCTTAAATTGATTAAGGTAGCCCCAGGGGCACCCCTTAAGCAGGGAGCCCAATTTGGAACCTGTGTTGACCTTTCAAGACCTGGCAAGACAGTGCCTGCCTAGGAGCAGTCAACCACTGAAGACCCCTTTGCCTGCAGAGCGCTGACCTTTGTCTGCAGGGTGGACCTTTATTTCCCGTCCCTTGGGAGACCTCAGTTGCTCTCAGAATGTGGGCATTTTAGAAACATGAGAATAATACTTCCATTGGCTCCATCATGAGTATTTTTAATACATTGTCCTTTTAGAAGCATACGTTGAGGGTCTTTTTGCCCCTTCTCGAAAAGTCTTCGTGTCATGGTTCTTGAAGTTGAGAATAACCTAATTGTGTGTAAGTTTTCTATCATGATCCACGCTGAAATTACCACTTCCTTCACAAGGATATGTTGATGTGGAAATTTGGAATATTTTACTTAATTTCATGCTTTGGTTGAAAAGACTATCCTGCCTAGAGTAGGTGATTTTTTCCCCCCTTGTATAGTGCAGCGTGGCCTGATAATAAACTATAGAGAGAGAGGAAGCTGCTGGGTCAAGCACCTTTGAAATAACACACATTTCTCACAGAGCTATTGCTCATGCGGTGACTTTGAACTGACCTTAAAAATTGTTTGAGTTGGATTCTGTTCAAGTGAGTGTGTGTATGTGTTTCATAAAACGGTGTGACAGAATTTTCTAGAGGTTTTATGCTTCTTTATATTGTTGAGGTCTTACCCAGTGAACTTGGCCTTTCTTTCAATGTTACAATCTTTTCCACTTAAATACTCCTGAACATTGCGAGTTGGCGGGCTAGATGAACCTCCTAAAATGCACAAACTACATAAAGCATGGCTGGGCTGATGAGGCTGCTCCAGCCCCACTGAATCGTTCATTTTAATGGTCAAGCAACACTGGAATAAGACATGGAAAGGGTCCAGAATTCAGTTAAGGGTTTGGACGGCCAATGCCATTTTCCACATTGAGTCCATCGGAAAGAAGGCAGAGCTGAGCGGGATAGTCCTGTCTCTCCCCGGGGAATTGCAGTTTTGTTGTGGTGTCTTGGTGACCTGTTAAGCTTACTAAAATCCAAAATCAGTACAAGGAGGTTTAAAAAATAACGAAGTCTCCCTCCTTTTTCCTGTCTCGCCTTTTCCAGCTTCTCTGGGTCTTTGGTATGTTACTCATGTGCACACACGAGTGTGCATACATTTCTGTAAAGACAGAAGGAAGATAACACTCAGGTTTATATAAATGCTTGCTAGAAGTCTTATTCCACGGGTAAGGGCTTGGCTCCGGGATTTAGTTGCTACCTTGAGGCACCCACATCCCATATCTGACCGCCTAGGTTTGAGTCTCATCTGTAATCCCTATTCCACCTTCCTCCATATGTGTACCCCAGGAAACAGCATGGAATGTCTTATGTAGCTAGGTCTTTGCCATTTACATGGGCTATCCAAACTGAGTTCTTGGCTCCTGGCTATGGTCTGTCCCAGCCCCACTCAAGTGCTGTGGGCATTTGGGAAAGTGAACCAGTGAATCAAAGAACTTTATCTCTTGCTCTGTGTCTGCTATTTAAACAGAATAGCACTAAATGAAAAAAAATTAACTAATAAAGCTTACTCCAAATTGGTAAGCACTAGAGCATTCTAAGATATGTTTGAATTCTATCTTAACCACACAGTCATGACTGATCTTGCTTGGAATAGTAGATTTATTTGCCTCACCATAAATTTGACACAAATAAATTTAACAGTCTCCCAAGTGCTCTCTCAGAGCTCAGAGGTAGTGTGGCACTGTCATATAGGCTTTTGATTCACACACATTCATGTGAAACCCAGGCCTTCCATCTTGGGTAATTAATTTAACTTCTTCAGAGCACAATCCCGCATCTGTATAAACGAGCATGAGAGCTGTGCTTGATGCACATTTATGTGGAGGATTCAGTTGAGTAAAGCCTTCAGAGCATGGACGAGGGGTACATCTTTAACCATAAAGTCCTTAATATTTTTTTTTGAAAAGCAGACTTACA